GCCTGAACTCTGGGCCTGGGTGCTGTCCCTCAGCTCTTCAGCTCAAGGCTAGCGCTCTACCACTTGAGCCACAGCACCACTTCCGGCTTTTTTTTTGTTTGCTTATGTGGTGCTGAGGAATCGAACCCAGGGCCTCATGCTTGCAAGGCAGGCACTCTACCACTGAGCCACCTTCCCAGCCCCCCATCCTTTGTCTTATGTCTTTATTTTTCTGCAGCCTCGCCCCCTAATTCAGGATTCCCTTTCATTGCCGGCAGGCTCCAGCATTTAACAGAATGATTTAGCCAGGTGCTGGTGGCTCATGCCTGTAATCCTAGCTACTCAGGAGGCTGAGATATGAGGATTGTGGTTCAAAGCCAGCCTAGACAGGAAAGTCCATGAGACTCTTATCTTTAATTACCCACCAGAAAACTGGAAGTGGTGCTGTGGCTCAACTGGGAAAGCGATAGCTTTGAGCTGAAGAGCTGAGGGAGAGTGCCCAGGCCCAAAGTTCAAGCCCCATGACTGCCAAAAAAAATAAAAATAAAAAATAAAAGAAAGAAAGAAAGAAAGAAAAGAATGGTTTAGGGAAGGGAATGTGGCTTAGTGGTAGCATGCGTACTAAACATCCATGAGGCCGTGGGTTCCATTCCTTGGTACTGAGAAACCTAATGAGAGAACAAGAGTAACTCTATCTTGCTCAGGCGACGTTTTATGTTTCATTTTTTGCCTTTGTTCTAAGTACTGTTGACCAAGGTGTTTCTGAGAAGTGTCATTATGCAAAGAGGTATTATTAAGTTAAAATAACCCGAACCTGTACAAATTATGGGAAAGAGCTATGTGTACCATGATTAAGTCAGGTGTTTGCCCCTGAGTGACTTAGGGCTAAGAGTTTCAGTTAAAACTTTATAATGTCCCAACCAACAGGTTCTTCAGAGCTCAGGATGAAACATGCCATGCATATTGTTGGACCATGTGTGACTCATAACCATTTGTAGTTAAGCTATAGAACAAGGATATTTTTCTGTAAAGGTCAACCAATCATATTTGCCCAGCTTAGCTTGCTTTAAATGTTAACCAATTATGTAATTTCTTATGTAAAAGTTCTTTCTCTGGGTACTACAATACCACATAACATAAAATGAACAATAATAATAAAAAGAATGGATTACTGTATATGTATGGTTCATTCAGCATTTTTTTTATTATCTATTTAATGAGATGTCTTGTTATGTTTTCCAGGCTGGTCAAACTTGCAATCCTCACATTTCAGCCTCTGATTGAATTACAGGTATGGACCACCATTCCTGTCTAGTATTTCTATAATTCATTCATTTATTCTACAAATAATAAAGGAGCATATAACAGGTAATTTTAGAAATCAACTCAACCAGATTAAGCAACACCTAGCATTACTTCTGGGTATGTTTGGGAGGGTGTTTCCAGAGGGTATTACTGAATGAATAGGTGGACTGAATGGGGAAGAGCCATCCTCCCAGTGGGCGGGATCATCCAATCAACCATAAAGTCCAGAAAGGTCAGTTGGTTGGAAGGTATTTTCTCCTTTTTGGAGCTGAAACACTTTTTCTCCTACCCTTGAATATCCAAACTGTAGGCTCTTGGACTTTTGGATTCCAGGACTTAGACCGGTGGCCTCCTAGGTTCTCCAGTCTCTGGGCCTTAGATTAAGTGAGAGTCATACCATCCGACTCCTGGTTCTGAGGCCTTGGACTTGAACTGAGCCACGCTACTACTGGCATTATAGGAGACGACTATTGTGGGATTTCTTTCTCAGTTTCTACAATTGTGAGTCAATTCTCTAGTGTATCTTCTCTCATCTATCACTTTCTATATATCTGATTCTTTTTCTTCCTTCCTTCCTTTTTGCCAGTC